TATATTTTCAAATCGTTACTCCCACTTGCTCGATCAACTTCAATATGAAGATCAATCACTTATCATTAATAAGAATATAATTGAACATGAATGAGTATTCACTCACTTAGATCTAATTTTGTATAAAATAAAAATTTTAGTGCTTTAGTGAACTGCATGGCTGGACCGAAGGGTGTGTAAAATGTGCAGCCGCATATAGGAGCCTCAAATTTTTAGGACTCAATGTTGTTAGATGTTAGTTATTAGAAATACTTGATATTTTTAAATTTAATACGGAGTATAAATTAATATTTTAATATTCAAATTGTTATAAAGTGGTTATTAAAAATTAAATTTAGAACTGATTTTAAAGCACAAGTATTTTACAAAAATTCAAATTGATTTAGCAATAACTGTCCCTAATTTATTGTCCTATTTCAGATTACAATACTTGATCAAGTTTATTTTTAATCTAATTTATTTAAATAATCATACAAAATTTCAAAATAAGTTTTATAGTACTCCCTCCGTCCTAAAACTTTGATTTAGCAATAACTGTCCCTAAACTTTGACGCTTTTGGTTAAGCTATGCAATACTTTGATTGAAAAAAGTATATTCATTTATACTACTCCTTCCGTCCTAAAACTTTCTTCCCATAGCATTATTCCAACTTCACGGGAATTTATATTTATTTGTGTTTTTTCAAGACCTATATGATAAAATAAAATATTCTTGTCACCACTTATTTTGTTGAACTTTTGATGTAGTTTTTAAATATATATGTTTTTTTTATTTTTATACCAATTTTTAAATAAAATAGAATGAAAAAACTTGGGATTTTTCTTCGTTTTGCGCAACGAGAAAAAAGTTTTAGGACGGAGGGAGTATAAATTTAGTAAAATTAGGTTCATTTTAAAATATAGTTTTGATACATCAATTTTGGATTAAATTTGATTTCATAAAGCTTTATTTACTCAAAAAAGTCAACTATGACACTTTTGACCAAACTATGAAACTGAGTGAAACACAGTGAAACTCGTCAAGTAGCATAAATAGTTAAATACTTTGACTATAAATTCGAAACGGAAAATAGACAAAACAGTGAAATTAAGTGTAAAATTTCATACTCTCTACGTTCTAATTTAAGTTGACTATTTCGATTTACAATGAAAATTGATGTACAATAAAAAATATATTTAAAAATTACATCAAAAAAACTACAATACTAAAAATTATATACTCATATTATTTTATAAAATGACTAACAAAAATAAAAAAAATTAAATGACATTTGACCTTTAAATAATAAACAGACAAAAACACCGCCTACGTCGTACTAAACAGTGTTCGTTTTATGATAAGTTTTGATAATGCCAAACCGCCGTGACAACAGGATTAAACTGAGCAAATCAAAGGCGAAGGAACATGGCATGATGATTTGAGAACCGAGAACCAAAAACCAAGAACGAAGACTTAAAATTTATTTGAGTCGGTCTTTATGTGATCAAGACTGGCACAACTTCCGAAACTTGGCTCTCTAGGCTCACTTCATTAAAACACTTTGTTGCATATTCAAAAATGTTTTTCATAAGTTTTTAAACAAGCCAAAAACACTTGGAGTTCGCCCAAACCAAAAACCAAGCCATCTGGCGCTCGGGTTTCAGAAACCGGCGTTCGGCTTTCGGTTATCGGTGTTGGTTTTTGGCGTCCGAACCAACCAAGTGGTTTTCAACCTTTTATGATTGGTTTTTACTTCTGGGCACATTTAAATAGTTCTCCAACAAAAATGCTTCAAAACCACCTTTCGTTTTTGGTCGTTTAGTGAAAACCATGCGAAATGGCGCAAACTTGGCTAGTCGTGGTTTGTCTACACAGTTTCAATAAACTTGTGTATATCTTTTTATCATACACCTTCTAGCCGTGGTTAGTTATTTAACTTACATAGTTTCAATAAAATAAAATTGCATATTTTCTATAATATCAAATGAAATGATTTCGAACTTGCTAAATATATAAATACTCAATAAATGAGGTTTGGGATAAATTATCGTACGTATATATGATACTCTCTCTGTCCCCTAATTTATTCTCCTATTTCAAATAACGAGACTTGACCAAGCTTATTTCGTCTAATTTATTCAAGTAATCATGGAAATTATCAAAATAATATTTATATTTAAAAAAAACTATATCAAATACTCTATAAAACATGAGGTAACTTGATCATGTTATTTTAACAAAAGACAAATGAAAATAAGTATAAAAAATGAAAGAGTTTGACTAGTAAATAGTGAAATAAGGCGATTAATTTGGGGAGCAAGAAGTATATTACCCCCTCCATTCCAAATTCATGTACACAGTTTGAACGACGTGTAAAATCTTACTGTATCTAAAAATTAAATTTTATTTATAAATTGGTATGGAAATAAACGAATAAATTTCATGTTTTTTACATTAGATACGTAGTAAGGCAGCCTTCTCTTTGTCTGAATTTATTGATCCCATTTGAATTTTTTAAGTCTTATTTGAATAAATCTAATATGATCTGACTAGAGCTAATTCAAATTTAAATAATAATAATGATGATAATTACTAGTCGTAATAATTACATGAAGTAATTATTACTATTATAATAAAATTAACTATTACTCCATATTATTTTAATAATAAAATCTATTATCATTATTATAATTATAATAACAAAAACATATTTTTATTTTTAAATTATTATTGGTAATTATAAATTATTAATCTTTATTATTCATTAATATTATTACTTATCTTTATTAATGGTTAGCATTATTATTATTCCCTGATGTGATTTGATCTCAATAAATCTAATGTACTCCGTAATTTAATTCTAATAAGAATAAGAATAAACAATAAATAACAGAAATAAGTTGAAGAAAATATGACCGAACAATAAGAAGACTCTTTCTCATCCCGTATAGACTTCACTTTTCGTTTCATTGAAATGAATATGTAATTTTTAATTAAAAGAAGATTTATTTAAGTAGTACTAAAACATAATGACTTTTCTAATGTAGCACTATTTTTTTTTAATATAGTACCACTGTTAAACATCCATTGGTCATTATTCGAGTAAATGTCCACCGCCACTCAAACTAAATGTCCACCATCACTCGATATTGATCCTGGTACTAGACATTATTTAAGTACTCCGTACTATTTTGGAAGTTAAAAAGTTTAAGTGGTACATTGAGAAAGGACATATGTTTTAGTGTTATTCAGTACAAATTTCACTTTTTAAAACTACTTTGGTTCACTAAGAAATTTCAACTCACATCTCTATGTTCAAAATTTATGGTAAAACCGAAGGCAAAATTGATATACTCCGTAGTATTTTATTCAACAAGAGAATACTTATGGAGTTATGGAATGTACACCATTTTAATGTGATTATAGCCTTTGATCGTGCTTGATCATAGGGTATTGTCTATATTTAATACTCCTGATAGTATATCTTTAACAGAATCACAAGAATACACAGACAATCATTATCTGAATCACACGAATGTTGTGAAACACTGTATCCGAGAATTCAATACATGATACCTGAGTACAAGCTACATGTTTACTCATTTATTTTTTTTCTAAAAAAAATATCTTTATTTCCATTTTTAGACCTCATGAAAGTCAGACAAGGTAACTTTCTTTTTTTGGAACGAATAGAGTAAATTTTCAAAATGCAATTTCCAGGAATATATGGATTATTAGTGCTTCAAGTTTCTTTATAGTACATTCACAGCACCTCTTAGGCTCTTAGTTACTCAGACCCCTTCCAATCCAAAAATCCAAAATAATCAAAAGTACACTATAAAAAGAACAAAAACGACTCAGTTCCCCTATTACATTTTTTTTTTACCGCTTCATATAGCCCCCCCCCCCCAAATAAGGAAAATATTATTACTCAGAAGTAAATAAATACTCTATAATAATTTACAAGCAAGCAGCTCTTGAAGAAACCTCGTCGTCTCCACCCATGCTCCTCTCCCGTTGTTCATCGTTCTTTTCCTGAAATTGAATTGCACCCTGTTTAGTTATCTTCTTGATATAAGGCAATCAACCCAGGGGTGGGCGTGAAATCTGTTCCCATTGAACCGTTCCGAAAAATTCTGGATCCGTTTTGTAATTCTACCGATATATAGGGACACATTTTTTTTATCCCAAACTCGTTCCGTCCCAATATCAAATGGGACATTAGCGGGACAGCTTATATTTATACCGATCCGTCCCGTTTCATCTACTCTACTAGTATATAATACTAATTCTATTCCAAAATCTAAATACACTCATTCTTTAATTAATTAGTTATTTAATTAAATTAACTTCATATGCTTGAAATTTATTTGGACCCATTCCACTCATTGATTTTTGTTGGATGGCTAGATGTTTCTTTTTTTGAATGAAATGTCACCCTCTCCCCCTTCTTATATTTGCGATTAGGACAAAGTAAGACGACCCGAATCCGTCCCGGTTTATTCCGATCTCGAATTTTATGGGACAAACCAGGATAAGATTGTAATCCGAACCGTTCCGGAACATTTATATATAACGGGACAAGACGTGGGATAACCTAAAATCCGGACCGTCCTGATCCATGTCCACCCCTAAATCAACCAGGGAGCTTAAGAGTGGCATTTGAGCTATGTCCGGGGGCATATCCGTAATATTCTTTATACCAGTAGTACTATTAGAATTTTCTGCAAATTAAAAAAACATACTGCTATAAAAAATACAGTACATATTTAAAATTTTAAAAACTACATCAAAAAAAATTAAAAAACTAGAAATAATATACTCATATTATTTCATAAAATGACCAACGAAAAAAATTGAATGACGTTTAACCCTATGAATAATAAACGGACAATTTATTTGGGGGTAGAGAGCGTACGCAATTTTAAATATATCAATAGAATTATCAAAATACCACTAAAGGAGTACAAATTAAATTCTCAAATATAAATTCGCAAAGTATTACAAATGTCAGATACGTACGGAGCACTAAAAATTGGAAACAAAAATTTAATCATCAAATGACAACTCAAATAAAGGGGAAAAAATAAGTTTCCAAATCGTTTACTAGCAATTCGAACAACGGGAAAAAATTTAGTTCCCAAAACCGATTACTACTCTTATGGCTTACTTGCGAATCACTGCCGCCTAATAATATATATACTTCCCAACACTAACTAAAACTTCCATTCATTCATCTCAAGTCTTCTTTCAATTCTTTGGCCATCAAAGAGAATATACAATCACAAAAACCCTGAAATCTTTTCTTGTTTTCTTTTCTTCTTTTTTTGACTTCTCGTTCCACTATAATCAATCTTCTATTGTTGTTTCTTTCGTCCCGCCATGGAAGTTGCCGCTTATCAGAACCCTAATCTTCCCGTTGCTGTATCTGAAGCTCAACCGCCAGTTGGTTATAGGTTCCGCCCAACGGATTCCGAACTTCTTGATCATTACTTGAGGAGGCTGATTCACAGGCTACCGTTACCCACGCTGTACCCGAGAATTACCCGTTTGGATATTTACGCTGATCACCCTTCTGCCATCTGGAATCTTGGAGACGCTCACGATGACACGGGCAGCGGGGCCGAGTTGCACTGTTACTTCTACACCGCACTGCAAAGCGTTAGCAATGGCTGCCGTGGGAAAAAGATGGGAAGAAAGGTCGGGGCACATGGGACTTGGCACATGTCCTGCACTAGGGAAACCAAGGTGAATAATGCAGATCAGGTTTTGGGGTACAACAAGTACTTCAACTACAAACCGAACACAATTCATCCTGGAGATGTGGAATACGAGTGGGGTATGCACGAATTCACCTTGCACGATTCCAATAAATATGCACTATGCAAGATTACCAGGAGGATGAGGAAGAAGAAGTTGAAAGGCGCTGTTGATGAATCAGTCATGTTGTCTAATCAACAGCAACAAGGTTTTGGTGAAATTGTTCTTTCTTCCAATCATGGCGATCCTGCAAAGCAACCGAACCTGGAACTTTCCCCAGAATCAATAACATGCTCTTTTGATAAAGTGTCTGATCATGATGAAGTTGGTTCTTCTTCTACTACTACTTTTACATCAGGACTGTTGTGTCATCAACAACCATTATTAGAAAATACGCATCAAGCTCATACTGCTGCTCTGCTGGAGCCACTCTCTCAATTTGAGAACTCAGATTTCAATGATGTTCTGTGTGAGACACAGGGGGGTCATCCTCAACAATCGCGCATGGACCACTCCCATGGATCAATAGTGACCACCTCTTCTGACTCTTTTGAATTAGAAGATTTTGACGACATTTTCCTGGATTTGGGGGACTCCGTAGCACTTGACGATGTAAGAGAAGAGGACTACTACCAACCAACAGTTGGCTCAATAGGAAGTCAACAAAACACTACCTGTAAGAGAGCTCGTGTCGAAGAAGGAACCAGATGTGTTGAGTATGATCAACATACGCATGATGCCGGAGCAAATGGAGCAAAAAGGTATAAGAAGTGCTGATACTAGTTGGAGTCCCAACACGATGTTTCTGTTGCTGTCAAGTATTGTACAATGGTCCTGAAATGAGAAATTATCAGATTCTAGAGTCTAGACTTCTAGCAATTAAAATTTTGTAAGTGAATTTGAAATCAGTTCTTATGTGGAATGGTTATAGAGTTACAATTCTAAAATGATATTGTATTGATTAAATGAACAGGCTTTTTTATCCATATTTCGTATTTGTCATTTGATATTCAGTGTAAATCTTTTTGTGATCTTGGTTCCTTCAGTTACTCTTTCTCTTAACAGTATCTTTGAATTACTTATCTTTAGTCAACACACAATCAGACCAAGGTCATACAACAACAACAACAACAACCCAGTTGAATCCCACTACAGTAGGGTCTGGGGAGGGTGTGTGTACGCAGACCTTGCCCCTACTCGGAAGTAGGGAGGCTGTTTCCAAGAGACCCCCGGCTCAACCTGCACAAAATTATGGAAATCAGACCAAGGTCATAGTCATCAACAAATGAGTTTACCAATTTAATTAAGGTAATAATCAAGTAGTTCAACCCCATACTATGAATCCTTTAAAGCTTATATTGAAGTAAAACATAAGTCAACAACATGTAATAGTTATCTCCAAACATGTGAAGATCAAACCTGAGCAGAGATGACAATTGACAACCACCGCATAGGCCGTTTTACACACAGATCAACGAACATATTTTTAGTCATGAAATAAGAGATTATTAATTTTAGAAAAAAAAACAGTAGTTTCACTCAAAATACAAACTCGGGCGGTGGGTGTCTTAATTAAAACTTACAAAGTGGGCAGATTTTCATAACTATGAAAGTATATTATACAGCAAAAACAGAAAGACACTCTAGGATCTTTAAGACAAAGCTGTATAAAACTAGCTTGCTAAGTTTTTATATGATCAGCTGATCCTTAAAGTTAAGACCCAGTTGTAAAACAGTATTCCATGTGCACATTTATGACATAACAAATCAGAAGTGTTTTACCACAATCTAGCTGAGTAGCATGTATGTGTTGATCCATGCACTGATACACGTTAAAATGCTAAGACACCAATGTCAATTTATTGTGGATTTGGAATTGAATTCTAATTCCAAAATTTCCAATTCCACATTTTAAATTCTATACCACAGGAAAAGAATTTTTAGAGGATTGAAATCCTTAATTTGGAATTGAATTCTATAGCAATTCCTTAATTATACCAAAGGATTTGGAATTGAATTTGATATCAATTCCATCCAATTCCGTGTACCAAACGGAGCCTAACAGATTTTCTGTTTTGTTTTTAGTTTGCACACTGTTATAACTCATTAACAGAGACTAGCCTGCATTACCATCAACATAGATAAACCAGAGGTCAAATTATGAGCCGAAAAACGGTGGAGATTCAATTGGTATGTTTGGATCCTTGAACAAACTGACAGTTTTTTTATATAAAAAAGATCTAGAGGAAGTTTTTTCTTATGTTTGATTCATCTTGGAAAATCAACTGCACATTAGCCTGATAAAACAGGCATACATAGATAAAAATAGCACCCACAAGTATGCAAATGGAGATTGAAGAACAGAAAATTCCCTAAGCACAAGCAAACGACATTTCAAACATTGGATTACGAAATCAAAATATTAACAAGTCGATTCCATTATAAGAAATTAACAGTATGAAAAAAAGCAAAGAGACGAGAGAAACACCTTCTAAACGTCGATAGTTCCGAGTGAGAGTGAAAAGCAGATGCAGTGCAGTGAGATTGAGATTGCGAAGGAGCATAGATCTTGTTGTATTAGCCGAAAGAGCGGCGTGGCGGAGCTGATTCCTCCACTCACCTTTCCTCCGGAAGAATCCGCCGTCGGTCCAAGCGACTTCGCCATTCGCCGTCCCGCGATTCTTCTCCCTGATCGTCGGTGATGGATGAGCTTGTGAGTTGTGAGGTGGGTCTCAACAAATATTTGATGATTGAACTTACTTCATTTTTTATTAGAAAAATGCTAGGGGTAGGGTGGACACGGTACGGTTTCGTGATGGTTCCGATTCCGAAACCGCCGGTTCCGGTACCGCCACCTCTTGGTGCCGGTACCGGTTCTGGTACCCGGACCGGCCATTTTCGGTCACCTCCAATTTTTTTTTCTTTTTTATTAAATTTTTAAAGTTTAAAAATTGTAAATGTGCAATTGTTAAAGGAAAGAATGAAATAAAAAAATCTAAAAATGTACGGTAGTTGTTACGTAGTATTTAAATATTGTAAATAAAAAAAATAACGGTACCGGAAGCGGTACCGCCGGTGCCGGTACCAAAAAATAGGTACCGGAACCGGTACCGGAGGGGCGGTTCTGGTACCGGTGGAGCGTCCCGGCCGGCGGTGACGGTAGCGGGTATCGGCGGTACCGTTTCCGGTCACGGTACAATACCGGTACTGTGTCCACCCCTAGCTAGGGGTACACCAAATGTGTACCCCATTTATCCCCCACCCCCTCCTTGTCCACAAAAAATAGGCAAGAAATTCAAAAAAAAATAAAAATAAAAATGAGTGGTGGAGAAGGGATGATGTACATTTGGGGAATGGAAAACATGAACAATGTTTTTTCCTGTTGTGGGCTTCCAGTTAGGTCAACTAGTTAGGTATTAATTCTCGGGTATCCAAATATGTAAAGAAGAAAATGGTCCAATTCATGAAATGGGTATTACGGTCGGGTATCCAAATGCTTTGGTTAAGAGCAATTTTCATCTCGGATATCCAATCATCTAAAGAAGACACGGGGTGACGAAATTTTATGATTTTAATGCAATGCATTTAATACACTTAAGAGACATGCCTATCGGGAGACGTATTTTGACGGCTTAGCCATATTTTTCACGTGTTTCCAAGTGAAGAAATCATTACTTCTCACCATTCCATACAAAAAAGTTGCTCCATATTATTTAAAAACAACATTTCTTTACACAACCATTTCACAATTCTCTACCATTAGAACTCTTTGAAATTTCCATCTCAATATGGCTCCCAAACGCGTTTTTTTAGGTCTATTTACCAATCTCGATGATCTCCAAAGGGACCAAAAGAACATTGCTATTCACGTACGAGATGTACGTGTCTACCATGTTAATTCTTTTGGAAGAAATATTGAATCAATGGAGGTTATGTTTCATGATGATGAAGTATGTGACCTTTGTCTAAAAATTGCAAATGATTCAAGTTATTTTAACAAGACAATACTTATTGAATGTACACCATTTTAATGTGATTATAGCCTTTGATTTGCAAGCCGTGCTTGATCATAGAGTATGGTCTATATTTACTATTCATGGTAGTATATTTTTCAGAGACATACACAAACAATCATTATCTGGATTAGACGAATATTGTGAAAGTCAAACAAGGTTACTTTCTTTTTTTGGAACGAATAGAGAAAACTATCAAGATGCCATTCTCAGGATTATATGCATTATTAGTGCTTCAAGTTTCTTTATCGTACTTACATTCACAGTACCTCTTAGTTACTCATCCCCTTCCAATTCAAAAATCCAAATTAATCAAAAGTACACTACAAAAAAACACAAAAACGACATCAATTTCCCTATTACATTTTCTTTTTTTCCACTCCATAACCCCCCCCCCCCCACACACACACACACAAAAATACAAAAAAAAGAAGAAAATATTATTACTTAGAAGTAAATAAATAGTCTTCAATAATTTACAAGCATGCAGCTCTTGAAGAAACCTCGTCGTCTCCATCCATGATCCTCTCCCGTTGTTCTTCCTTCTTTTCCTGAAATTGAACTGCACTGTTTAGTTATCTTCTTGATATAAGGCAATCAGCCAGGGAGCTTAAGAGTGGCATTTGAGCTATGCCCGGGGGCATATCCGTAATATTCTTTAGACCAGTAGTATTATTAGAATTCTACAAATTAATAAAAAAACATACTGTTTTATAAGTTGATTCCGTTGCTGAAGAAAGTCTCTCCGATCTAGCATTGCCACGAATGATTTTGGCTCCAGATCCAGGAGTGTTGGCTGATCCGACGGCCTCTTCATCAACCAAGACCATATCAATGCAAGTCCCTGGTTTGGCATCTGGAACCTGCGCACAAGGAAAAGCATCATCGGTGAGGGTTTTGTTTGGATGGAGGTTGAAATGCCATGCGATCACATATTATGTTAAGCTTTCAATTGTTATAAAGTCTCAAATACTCCGGGTACATATCAAGATACCCTCCAAAACCTTCCCTTCCAAACTCCTCCATCCAAAACAGGCCCCCAGAAATCAAAGACTACCATATACACTTGACTCAGCAGTTGCACTGTGCAGAGAGCCCTAGAGGATAAATGGTGTAAAAAAAAAAGAGTCATTCCTACTGAGCCTCTAGACATGAGGTGGTCCTAGCTTTGAATCACCCCTACAAAGGCTACAATACCCAAAGGACAAGAAGTTCAGAAAAAGGCTACGTATAGACTTGGGACCAGTTTGATGAAGACCATATTTGGATTAGACGGATGAAATAACTACATGAGCTGATGAGAAGCAAGGCTGAAATTATTTTGAAGGGTAGCATCTAAAAGAGCATTTTAATAGACAAAAAGAAATACTCAGTAGTATCTAAAAAGTGAATGTAGAAGTACATTTCCTCCTTTTGCAACATTTCAGCACAAACAAAATAAAAAACTTCTAAATATATAGTACGGAGTAATTTATAATCATCAGCCAGTTCAGTACGCCAACAACAACATTGCCCCAGTGCCTCAAAGGCTCCCGCCCATTGCGGTGTAAGGGGGGTCAGATGTACACAGCCTGACCCCTACCTATGTTAAAGCAAACAGGGGCTGTTTCCAAATGACCCGTGATGAGCGTCAAAAGTTGCATTGAGTAACCGTTACTTCATTATCAGAAGAAGCCCAGTATGCCAATGAAAAAAATTGTACCGGCAACTATGTCTATTGAATAAATTGTTCACTTTCAAAGGTTCTTCACATTAATGAGAAAATGTTCCAATCCACAGTGCAAAACAACCTGAATTCGTATTTAGCTAACAGCTGATAAAATTGAACAACATGGCTAGTGTCCATTGATCACCTTTACATGGGTGTAGAAATGGAGGGTTATGGATACCGTGTGTAGGAAGATAAATCTGTTTTGGACACTAATGTCATTTTAGTAACAAGGGGGTGGATCTTGTAGATCCAAGTGTGGAAACTCTTACACTATGTTTGGTTCAAGAAATTTGACAGGGAAAAGAAAAGAAAATGATATGTAATTATGAAAAACACAATTTCTTGTTTGGTTAGAGAGGAAAAGAAAATGAAAAAAAAGCTAAAAACTTAAAAAGGGGAAAAACAAATTTACTTCCAATTGGCGAGGAAAAGGAGAGAAACCGTTTTCCTTTCCTTTCCTTCCTAATACCTCAAACCAAATGGTCAAATGCACGGGTTGTTATGATGTAACTACCTCTCAGGTAGGGATAGATGTATATAATACAATCTAAAATAAAAAGACATTTTAAAGATTCTGTTCTTTGTCACAAGTCACATACAACATCCTTTCAAGTCAACCATAACTTTGCTATCCATCAGTTTTCATTATCATGTCTAAACCACTACGAAACCAACCACACACACCATAGTCATAGTTAGGACATAGCTCCCATTGAACTTTTTGCTATTATTATTACTAAGGGCACACAGGATAATTCCTCACCAGCTCCCGCCCCTCATTCTGCCTGTATTTTCTCAACGACTCAAACACCTACCCTGGCATTCATTAGTACATGACTAACAAGGTCCCCCAAAGACAAGTAGTGAGGTACTCTTATAGCAAGTTTCTTCCTCGCAATACATTGGATATCCTTTGTGAGCGTTATTGTATGTAATAAAAGGCTCCCAGCTCCCACCAAAAAGAGGTCCTTACTTTTGTACTTTTACCACCCTTTAATTTGGAGGAATTTGATTGCTTTTGTTGGCTTGTGAACCCTCTATAAAAAGGTGCACCCTTCTCATTTGAGAACATGTAACACAGCAAAGGACACTTCAATAGAAGAAGTGGGGGTGCTCAAGTGGTTGGAGCACCACATATCTCCCTCAACCAAGATCAATCCCCTCCCCAAACTCCATGTCCCTAAATATCCACGGGGACAATCCAAAAAACAACACACTATAATAAATGAATAGTGGTAAGCTCTTATTCTTTCTTTTTTGTAGCTCATAGGTATGAGGGATTAAAACCCTTAGTCCGGTGTTGCATGGTTAGTCCAGCCATGATCTTCCTTTGCAATATAAAATATTTCATTATCTAAATAATAAATGTATTTCGAGTTTAGGTGTTCTTTCACTGTTTCCTACAACCATTCAAATCTTACTACAAACCTTTTGTGAAATTTCAATGTCATGCCCTAAAAATTAAGATACTCGGTCAATATCAATTATAAACCTGAGCATCCTATTTAAAACTGCTCCCTACAAGAGCACCTTGCTGCTCCTGTATTTGAGAAAACGATACTAAGCCAGGTCTGCAGTACCTAGCCAGAGTGGCCACTTGAAACGTTGTTGAGGAAAAAAGATGGGGTTTTTTTTTGGGGGGGGATATGGAACTTTCTCGAGTACCTTTGGTGATAGAGGGGAGCAGAAGGCTCAACGGGAAGCCAGGAGCTATGACCTAACTATGGTTGGGGCTATTTTGTAGAAGCTTAGACATGGTGAGGAAAAACATGGATAGCAAAGTCAGGGTCAAGTTGAGAGGAGTGATATTAGTGAGCAGCAGGCTAATCAGGAAGCCAGGAACTATGACCTAACTACAGTTGGGGCAATATTGTAGAAGCTTAGACATGGGAAGGGAAAAACATGGATAGCAAAGTTACAGGCTGTTTGGTTGAGAAGAAATTGGGAGGAAAGAAAATGAATGGAGACAAAACACATATTTCAAGGTGTTTTATTTTGTTTGGTTGGAAGAGAATTGGTGGGGAGGAGAAAAAGGAGTCAAAAATTAGCCTTAAAGTTTTCTCTCCACATGGGAGGAGAGAATTGTAGACTGGGAAGGAAAACAAGCAAAATTACTATTTTACCCTCTTTATTTATAATTTTAGTATTACAGAGTAAGGGTAAATGTGTCTTTTTGTTTTAACACGTTTTCTTTCTTCTTCTCATTTTCCCTTCACTTTCTACCCATCCAAACAATAATTATTCTCTTTTCATTTTCTCTTCAATTTATTTCTTCTCATTTTCTTTTTTCTATATTCTTTCCTCTCATTTTCTCTCCTCATCCAAACAACCCTTTAGGGTCAAGCAGAGAGGATACTGTAATGTACTTATGGTGCCCAAACCACAATTGAAAACAAAAGGTGTAAAATATTTGGTGTCTTACCCCAGGAAAAGTCATTCAGCACAAACAGACATAGAATGAACATGAAGTGACTACTCCGCATCTGGTATACCAAATAGATAGATCTAACAGAGTAGCAGTTATATGATTGCAACTTGCTGATAAAAGAACACAAGGGTCTCGATTCTGCATCAACAGGATCAGTCATTGTGCCTAAAATGGCACCAGTGCCTTCAAGGACACCACACCGCCAACCATACCTCCTTTTATTATTATTACGGGAGGGGGGGAGGCTCATAGTCCCTTGGGGTCGGGCCCACAAAATTGTGAGAAGTCATATCATACATTCATACCTCAAACATGGCTTCAGTCAGGATAGTTTCTAAGATGGATCTTAAACCACGTGCACCAGTGTTCTTTGCTATTGCTTTCGATGCAATCATTTTCAATGCATTATCAGTAAAATGAAGTTTTACCTGTGACATGGAATCCAAGTTCAAGAAAATATTAATTTCATTCTCTTCTACCAAAGGGTACACATAACATACTCTCTCAATTCTGCGAAAAAATTACTAAACGATGTCTTCAATTCTGTGGGAAAAGCTTACATTGTTTAACGCAAACATTTTTTTGTACTGTTTGCAGAGAGCATTTTTTGGTCCCATGAGAACCTGCAAAAAAGCATATTATTGCACTCCCTCCTAAAGCTAAAAAAAAGCAAAAGAGAACAGCACAGATAATGGAATATGATAAACTTTCTTTTTCTTTTAACCCCTTCTCCATAAGTCACAAAGTTCAAATGAGAAGGTTCAAAAACATAGTAAATAAATGTGGATGAGTATCTAAGTTGGAGTAGTGTCAAATTTTATGTCATTCCCATTATTACCCTTATATAAAATTCACAATCTGATATGTAGGAGTGTTATTTAATCTTATTGTGGATGCTTAAGTTGGGGTAGATTTGGAAAAGAAAATTAAATACACGCCCTACAAAGAAATTGGACCATCTTTGTGGGACAGAGTAGTAAATCAAAAGAAATGAAGTGATAAATCAACAACAATGTTGGCTTATTTCCAACTTATCTACAAAATACAAGGTTGCTACATTTCTACAGGAAAAGTTAGTTGAGCTCAGCATCAGCTAACCTATTTAAAGTACTACTTAACTAAACCCAGAGGCCAAATCCCAACCTAGATGGATCTGTGGTTTCTACTTTTCAACCCTCAGATAATGCATGTCTTGCTTTTTTTTTAGCAATATCCCGTATCTATCATAAAAATAACTATCATTATTCCTTGTCCTAAGGGCCCACATTGGACATGCTAACTCACTTGAGCACATTCTCAGTTCAAATATGTAAACTGTTAAATACCAAGCGCCTACTTATTAAAGGTTGAACTGGCTCATCTAAATCCACATCGGGCAGAAAATCTTGCTAACATCTAATAAACACAGAAGAAAAAATGGGGCGGGGGTGCTGAAGTGATAGAACCAACCTGGACTAGTTGATTTTCATCTAAAGCAGATAAACTAACAAAAACTGGAAAACGTCCAACAAATTCAGGTATGAGGCCATATGCAGTAAGATCATTACTTTCTACCTGAGATAAATTTTAAAAAAAAAAGTCAGGATAATCCTCCCTGTATCTCAGATTCACAGGCATTAATCTAAAATATTTTAGGCAGTAATACAAATCTACTCACAGACTCCAACAGTGATGATGCCACAACAGCATCTGTAGGGGTAGCAGGGCTTATATGTGTACGAACTGGAGACCCAAACCCAATTGAAGAGTCTTGTCGCCTGAGACAAAAGAAATAATCAAGACAAACTCAATGAATTTCTGCATATAACTTGTTCGGTCAAGAAAAATACATTAATACTGGCATTACCTCTCCGAAATCGTCTTCTCCAGTCCAATGAAGGCTCCCCCACATATAAAGAGGATGTTTTTAGTATTTATCTGTCAAAATGAAAGTCGTCAGCTTCCAAAGGAGAATGTGGTAGAGAATTATGTAAAACTACAAAACTGAAGGTTGACTTCAATTATCCATTTACCCTGTCCTGCTAAAAAAATGTGCTTAGGTTGGATTTGGAGACAAGTTAGTATACATATGTAATTCAACATTTCAAAACCAATGACGTGCTTTTGGTGGATCCAATCCACTTCTATACTCTATACATGAAAACTTCAGCCCGCAGCCATTTTTTTATGTTTACAAATTACAACATCACATAAGTTGCATCAATGTTTGCATCTCTTTTCTATCATATATTCATATTGTCCCCCACCCAACCAAAAGGTCAATCATAAACTGTCATGACAGAAGTAAATCAAATAACATCCCATTGGGAGAAAATATAGATAGATCAAGATTCATGCACATACAGATATCCAAAGGATATACAGAAGAGACAACCAGACTCAATAATGCATGAAATCAAGTATTAAAAAAAGATCAAGAGCTAACAGGAGATGTTTCTAGATTCAATACCTCAATACTGTCACCACGAGAATGTTTATGTGCTCTATTATCAGGTACATTTACAATCTGATGCAACATAGTTTATGTAAAACAATCAATAGAGAATTTAGTTAGACATTAATAACCAGGCTAACCAAGTAGGATTTTTTTTATGCATAGTCCATACCATAACAAGAATAGTTTCAAAAAATAAAAGGTTAGCTTTGAAACTAAGGTAATTCCTCTTCAAATTATTTAGGACTATGGGATACTAAAAAATGAACAAGGGAGAGAATTTCACAGAACTTACTGTTCCTTCTAGCATTTTAAGGAGACCTTGTTGAACACCCTCCCCACTTACATCTCTTCCACTGTTTAAGCTCTCAGCCTATATAGAATATTTGAAATAACAAATGCAATTATGAGAGCACATAACTCAATTGCTCAAGTTGTAATCATATTTCTCAATATTGTGGGTTGTATATATGTAATATTCAGCAACCTTCTTAGTTATCTTATCAACTTCATCAATATACACAATTCCACGCTCAGCTGCTTCTACATCAAAGTCAGCAGCCTGAGAGAAAATGCTGTAAACGTTATTAATGAAGACCTGCATATGACATATCTAATTCCAAATGCAATTTGGAAAAAATGATTTTTGGTCAAACAGTGCATGAAATCCATTTGAATCATATCAATTGTTACAATTGATTGCTGGCGCTTTTTGTTGGAGCAACTATTCAACATCACTTTAAAGTTTTCAAGCTAGGAGAGACACTTGATTTACCAATAAGGGTTTCATGATGGATTGCGTCCATTGCCAATGCAGCTAAAAGAGTCATTTTTTACAATGTTTTAGATTCGACTAAATAATGGAATATTTCAAAATTGCACATTAAAACTTCCTCGCTTCATACTTTCTATGAAGTTTTGGGCAGTACATGCATCACTGCATGAAGGGTCAATTTTAATATACATTGACAACCATACCCATATCAATTTATAGGTAATAAATTAAAAAGCGAAAGGCAAATTAGATATATAGAGAAAACATAATCAATTTACTTCATTTTACTTTATTGGCTTGTGAAATATACAAATACTCCTAAGCCAAGTACTTTTAGAGAATTGACAATTTCATACTTCGTAGTATTTAAGAACAGGGACTATTTAGGTTACAACCAAAGCAAGAATATTAAATACAATGCATGCTATAGAGCATATAGGTGTGATAAGTGTATCGCATACAGTGTCTGATGTATGCTATAAAGCCTAGAGTAGTACAATATATAGATCCGCTGCATTCAACAGCAGTCAACCATCATAAAAATGAACATTTGTCGTACCGTGAGTAACTTGAACAATATTGACTCTACATCCTCTCCGACATAACCTGCCTAGAGTGGAAGAGAAATTCCAGTTAGAAATATTACAAGATTAATGAAAACTACAAGTCATTTTTGGTTTGTAATTTGGGTAATTTACCTAAATGGGACTAAAACATAATGACTTTCTTAATATAGGACAATATGTTTTAATTTCCCAATGTAGGACCATTGGTCATTATCTATTAGTCAGTATTCAACTAATTGTCCAGCATCACTTGGACATTATTCTTCTCACTAGTAATTATTAAGTCCTATTTAGGGAATAAAATAGTTTAAGTCCTACATTGGGAAATGACTTATGTTTTAGTCCTATTCAATGCAAATTTCACTTGTAATTTCTGTAGGATTTGTTGAAGTTGAAACTCGGAGAAGAAAGACACTTATGAATAAAAACATTAAAAGCCATAAAAACGTATTTAAAACTCCAACATGTCCAAGACTCAAAAGAAACCCGTTAAAGTAAGCTGAAGCTGCAGCAAACCTGCCTGTGTTAGTGTTGTTGCATCCGCAATGACAAAAGGCACATTTACAAGACGGGCCAGTGTCTTTGCAAGTAACGTCTTGCCTGTCCTTTCATTCATGTGAATCATAGTCATAAAATCAAGGAACACATTCAGAGCATTTCATTACTGAAACATGGCATAAACCATACCAGAACTACAGGAGAAATCCAGGTTGAAAATCAGGTATAAACCTTGGTAGATAACCTAAACGTAGAGAGGTGCAAGAAGAGAATGAGTTATTACCTGAGCCAGTTGGACCCACCAATAGAACGTTGCTCTTATCAAGCTCAACAAAATCGGTATCACAGTTTCCATGGTCATTCACAGCTTTGCCCACTTCTTCACCTGCCCTGGTATCATATAGTGTATCAATGACATCCTAGAAACTAATCCACTGTGTAAAGTACACCCTCTGTCCCTACATAAACCCCACCTATGTTTTTCACAGTCTTCAATGATCATCTTTTCGTGCTATAAAATAACATTCACTCTGTCACAAAAAGAATTTTTTGCATGGCCAAATTGTACCTTCTTTCTATGCCTTTTTTTGCTCATTTGTTAACTTAAAATAGTCATGTCATCTCATCTTTTATAGAACTTTTTGATGTAGTTTATAACTATATAAATTTTATTTTTTAATTGCACACCAATTTTTAAATAAATGGAATTGAAAATTACTGTAATCAAGCATCGCAAATTGCAACAGGAAACTATTTTTGGGATGGAACTGAAAAGAGTATAATTTATGAAAATTGGAGGTCAAATTTAACAAATTTTGACTTTGAAAAGGCTAAGATGAACTTTAAGGGCGGGTGGAGTATTAGCTAAGCATAACAGCAGTCAGCAGCTAAGTGTGCATTCTATCATGTGAAAAAACGGTATCATGTTTCAATTCAAGGAATCAGATTATCCTGGAAGTAACTATGTATGACATTATCAGCCATGTATAAGAGGGAAGAGTGGAACACATTCCAGAAATGAAGGATACAGACCAGACTTCAACGTTTTAAGATCTTCTTTATAAAACAGAAAAGAATGTTTGGAACAGTTTGAACTTGAAGTATATCAAAGCCGAACCCTAATTCTTTTTTACCGACTAAATAAACATATATACTGCGTATTTTAACTTTAAAACACTAAAATATATGGAAATTGTTGAGTGGCAAGAAACTTGCTGTGGCAGTTGCAGAAGACTACCAATGAATGTTGTACTCAACTTAATTAAGAGTTTGTTATTGAAAATACCATGAAATGCATCTACTTGAGTGTCAACCGATTAAAAAAAGACCACCCAACTCACCATTGTGTTGACGAGGCATCATATATTCTTTTGTAGTGATTGTAAACTGCTACGGACAGCACCTGCAAATAGTTTTCCAACAAAATCTATAAGACTATATGAAAAACAAAATCATAGTTGTATTCCTTATGTATGAGAAAAAATCACTCCTTTTAAGGCAGACCCCTAATACAAAATGAATCAATCATCAAAAAATTGAAATACGGAATACCAATTTATGGTCACCTTTTTTGCTCTATCTTGCCCAACTACAAACTCATCAAGCCCTTTACATATCTCTTTCGGAGTAGGCAACTTCTTCACCATGTTTAACCCTATCCACTCTCCGGCAGACCCCTCTGCACATTCCTCCACCTCATTCTCACTACTGCTGCTGCTGTTCCAGCTATCACTACTACTGCTACTGCTACTTTCCCCAACATCACTACTGCAACTATTATCACTGTAAGTCCTCAACTTCTCCCAAATCTTAATGGAAGATCTTCCGTTCTCGATACCAATGGCCTTGTTTCTGTTATTTTCCCTCTCCCCAACCTGGTCCCCCTTAACCCTTCCAATCTCAATGAAATTCCCCTGCAATGGCTCCAACCTGGAAGGACGAAAATAGATGGCAGTCCGGCAATGTGGGCATAAATTGAGGGCATGGTAAATTCCGGTCGGGGCAGGCGTGATGGACAAAGGACGATTGGAGAAGAGGAGGGTCATGAGCTTGGAGCACCGCGGGCAGTTCACCTCAGCTTTTATCTGGTCGTAGTTATCCGAACTCCCTTCCCACTTGCACCTCCGACCAAACCCTATCCCCAGCGCCCCATTCGTGACCGGAGGAGGGAAGCGCAGGCGGCCAGGTGCTGAGAATAACGGCGGCTTGGGGAGGGGCAAGGGAAAGGATGAACTGGAGTGAAATTCGGAAGAAGCGAATGAGATGAAGGGAGTTTTGAAATGGAAATGGTGGCGGAGCTTTGTTTTGCCGCTGTACCTGAAAATCGCAGGCATTGTTTTCCTTCTCCGATTCGGCTCTGCTGTTGAGCTCAAGAGAGGTTAGTCATCTGCTCCAGGTTTCTGTCCTTTGTTGGGAAGACGAAGTTTTTGGATAAAGATGCTCCTAATTCATCTTTTTTATTTGGTGTGAGGTACGTTGAGTTTTGTAATAAGAACTCACAAGTTCCATTTTTTAAAAATTATACTATGGGATACCTTTAATTATCTAAAAACTAACTCCGGAGAGACTTTCCGTCCATCCCTCCGTCAAATTCATTTTCTCCGTTAACTTTTCATCTTCTTCTTCCCAAAAATTATTGTCAGGTACCCTTAATTTTGTAAAAATAACTTCCAGGTCCCATCATTTCTAAAAATATACCCCGAGTACCCTAAAATATCCAAAAACTTGCTTTGGAAGATTTTTCCTTTATTATTATTATTATTATTCTTAGATTATTATTATTATTATTGTGTGACTATTACTATTATTATTTATATTACGGAGTATTATTATTGTTGTGATCATTATTATTATTACTATTACTAGTGTTACTATTATTGCAGAGTATTATTGTTATTATTAGTCACTTCATCATTATCTTCCGCAGCTGTAACTCGCTGCCGCGTTGCCTATTAAGTTGCGTTGGATTTTCGCTACACGCACTAGAATAATAATAATAATAATAATAATAATAATAATAATAATAATAATAATAATAATCGTGATAGTAATAGTAATAATAATCACAATAATAATAATAATAAAAGGAAAAAAGGAAAACCCCCCATAATAACTTCTTGGATATTTTAGGGTACCCAGAGTATATTTTTAAAAATGATGGAACCTGAAAGTTACTTTTATAAAATTGGGGGTACCTAAATGCAATTTTTAGAAAGAAAATGATGAAAAGTTAACGGAGAAAATGAATTTGACGGATGGAAGGATGGAAAGTGTCCCCGAAGTTATTTTCGGATAATTAAAGGTACCCCGGAGTATATTTTTCAAAAAAATGGGACCTGTGAGTTCTTTTCACAAAACCAAGGGTACCCGACAGCAATTTGCTGCTTTTTTGTTTGAACAATGCTACAATTACACCAACAATTGTTATTCAAACTTACACTAAAAAAAAGTATACATTAACATTTTGATTGTTCATATTGACACAAAGTGTTAGTACGTTAACAAAAATTTACACTGACACAAAGTATCGGTACATTAACAAAAATTAGCATTACACCAATACAAAATATTGGTAAGCACATGCAGTGTACAAATGGGATATAAACCCTTTGGGTACAAATAGCTTTATCCATTTTATTTTTTGAGTTGTGGGCACACAAGCCAATACCAGTGTGTACAACTTAGACAACAATTCCATTCAAATCATTTTTTCTGTTTATTGCTCCATACTTATTTTTATTAAAATTAGAACAATCTACTCAGATCATAGAGGACATGTCTAGTCATGAAAAAAGATAATACCCACCCTGACTTGTTGTTTTTAGTCAGGGTGGTCTCCTAGAAATCGGGGGCCCTGTACGACATAAAGAAATACTAACTCCGTCTCATTCTCTTTGTCCACATTTGACTTTTGAAACTGTTCATCTAAGCATTTTGACTCATCAAATTCTCTCAATGTGTAAGCCTAAATATAGTCATGTGTGGTCTTGTTTGATTTGTCTTAACATATAGATTATTAATATATAATTTCTATAATTTTTTAATATACAAATTACAAGATAAAATGAATTAAAGAAGTGCATTGGATGGTGTGCAAAAAGGTAAGTGGACAAAGAGAGTGAGATGGAGGGAGTACGAGTCATAATAAAATAAATTTTCTCAATTAGTGTATTTAACAAAATTAATATTATAATAATGAAAAATATAAATTGTCAAATTTATAGTCTTATAAAATTAAAATTGCTTATATTAATAGCTAACTAAGGATTCTTGAAGTTTTCTAGCATTCTTGAGAGCATTATTGTAATAAAAATACGGAGTAATAAAATGTCAAAGTCAAAATTTCAAATAATCAAATCCACACACAAAATTAGTAATCTTAAATAAAATTAATTATGCATACAATCTAATTCATTTCAAAGTGAAAATCATAAATCAATATGAAATCAACTAATCTAAATTATGAAATTATAAAATTTGAAATTATTTATTTACTCCAACTGGGCAATTGATTACACTAAAATTTGTAGAGTAAGCTAGAATTATGAAAATTATTCTAAAATCATGATTCATGAACATGATAAGGTTAATAAAATCAATTGCTAATCACCTAATTAGAGTAATTTTTGAAAGAAAATTTTTTTAAAAAAATTAAGCCGGGTGCATATCGTGGGCTCAGCCGCTCGGGGCCTTCAAAATTGGACCTATTTTCTGGTGCATCGTGGGCCAAAGCAAAAGTCTAGAGAGAGTGAGGTGGCCCTTTAGTGTTCTTTTTTAGTTTTTATATAAATAAAAACGTATATGTATATTATGGAGTAAATATAAAAATGGAGCCCACTCCAAAATTGGGCTTTGTACATGTGACCTTGCTGCCCTAGTCGGGCTTGTTTTTAGTTATTATTATCCCTCATTACATTGGAACCTATGTCATGGGATGGGATGACCTAGGGTGCTCCGGTGCTCCATTCATAAAATTGACAGTTCCTACCCTCTAACCCCTCCGATAAACTCTCACCCCACCTCGACTCGAACACAGCCCCACCCCCTTTAATTACACCCCCAAGTTAATTTTGACTTTGAAGTCAAAATTTGACTCCAAGTCAAAATTAACTTGAGAGTGCAATTGAAGGGGGTGAGGGTGTGTTCAGGTCGGGGCAGGTGTGGGGGAATTAACTTGTGGGGTGCAATTGACGGGGGTAGGGGGTGTGTTCGGGTCGGGGCGGGGGGTTTACCGGGGGGTAGGAACCGTCAATTTTACGAACAGGGCACCGGAGCGCTCCCGGGTCATCCTATGACATTGGATTCCAATGTCATGGGAACCTTAGTGTTATAACATGTCTTTACTCTTTAGTTGGATTTTGGAATGCGAATATCTGATTAAATTAATTCTAATGGATCCCTCGAGAGACAAGGCTTTTTTAAAAGTATTTATTCGAGTTCAGTTAACATTTAAAATAACATGTCTTTAGTTGGATTTTGGAATGTGAATGTCTGATTAGATTAATTCTAATGGGTCCCTTGAGAGACAATGCCTTTTCAAAAGTATTTATTTGAGTGCAGTTAACATTTAAAATAACATGTTTTTAGTTGGATTTTGAAATGCGAATGTCTGATTAGATTAATTCTAATGGGTCCCTCGAGAGACAAGGCCTTTTTTAGAAGTATTTTTCACCCCATAATTATTTACTTGCTAGTTATTGCAATTCATTTCTTGGATTATTCATTTTTCCTTTTTTATTTTATCAATTATCAATAAAGTTTAGTGTATACCAAAATTTGTACATCATACACAAGTCTACCCCAAATAATTGTTATGTGTGATATATTTAAAGCTAGTTCTTTTCAATTTATTTTCATTACTTATTCTTATTGCAACAATTTAAATCAAACCAAAATTTGGTAAAAAAAACAAATTTTAATATAATTGCATTCAAATAAAATTTAAGGGGCTATTTGGCAACTTCTGAATAGGTAAGTGCTGAACGAGTAAGAGGTCTGAATCATTAAGTACTGAACTAGTAAGAGGTCTGAACCATTAAGAGCTAGTATATTGTTTAACTATTCAGAGGCAAATGTATGATTAATTCAGATAAAAGGTTTTAACCATTCAGACTGTTAACCAGCAGCAAATGTGTGAACCATTCAAACATGTAGACCCTAAGTCCTTAGTGTAAAAGTGAATAGGACTAAAAATCCACCCATCTCTGTCCTCTGCTTGCTAGCAATGGCAGCCTCTGCAAGCGCTCTCGCTCCATTATCATCTTTCTCAATATCCCACCGCCACCACACCCGCCTCCGCCACCACACAACCTCCGTCTTCTCACTTACACTCAAACCCCCCTCCGGCTTCACTCTCTTCACCCGCACAAACCATCCCGGTCTCGCGCCCGTCAGGGCCGCCTCCGCCTCCGACATCGACACCACATTCTTCGATACCGTCGATCCGGATGAAATTACATCCTTCGACCCTCCTCTCCCGCCTGAAGGGTTCGTTCCGCCGCCGTATTACGACGAAGGGCCGGAGGAGTCGGAGGAGGAAATTGGCAGGGCGTACGAGGAGATCTACGGCCCGGCTTACAGCGGGGTGACCTATCTGGGCAACGATTTGGGTGTAATGGACTCCAAGGGGAAGAAGACCTCCGGGTTTAGGAACAAGAGGGAGAAGATCAGAGATGGGTTTGAGGAGAAAGTGGTGCAGGTCCGACGGGTCACCAAGGTGGTCAAGGGCGGGAGACAGCTCCATTTCAGAGCAGTCGTGGTGGTCGGCGACAAGAGAGGGCAAGTGGGTGTGGGTGTTGGCAAGGCCAAAGAAGTGAGTGGAGCTGTGCAGAAATCTGCTTTGAATGCTAGGAGAAACATTGTCACTGTTCCCTTGACTAAATATTCCACTTTCCCTCACAGGTAATATTACTTGCTGGTTTTTTTCTTTCATGATTCAGTCTTCATAATTTTTTTGAATGTGATGTTGTACTTAGCAGGCAATGAAATTGTTTATCAAATGCTAGTAGTATCTGTGTCACTGTGTGGATTGTGTTGAGCTATACTGATATTTTGCATTCTTTGTACACTGGAGGTTTGAATTAGATCATGGAGTTTGGACAAGGTTCAGGGCTTGTTTGGTTTGAGGATAGAGGAGAGGAGGGAAAATGCCGGTAATGCCATATCATTTGGTTATATGGATTTGGAATCTGGGACTTCATTTTCCTTCCACTCCAATCCCCTCCAACCAAGTACCATCCAAAAAAATTCCCATCTAGTTCCTTTGAACAAATTACTCTCTACCCGCTCTAGCCAAACATGCCCTTAGGATGTAGTATTTGGATACAAAGTGATACCTCCGTCTCTAAAAGAATGCCATTACTACAAATTACAGTTAAAGAATCTTGATTGAGATTATTTTTCAAATCAATTTATTTTACGATTGGTGTAGAAATAAAAATACCCAAAGTACATCAAATTATCTACAAGAGAAGATGTCACACGAAAATATTATTTT